TCTCTCTCTCTCTCTCTCTCTCTCTCTCTCTCTCTCTCTCTCAGTCCAGTACTAACCTGTGAAGTTGGCGCCTTGATGCAGGTACCTCGAAGATGGAGCTGGAGCTATGGCGCCACAAGTAAGTCTCGCTGGCCTCCACCAACCATCTCTCCCAACTCTACTATCTACCACCTACTAGCACCCAACGTTGAAGACTACTGCTATGGCTACTAGCGCCCAACGCTGAAGACTACTGCTAGCGCTAAGCTACTCCTTGCAGCGCTCCTCCTGAGTGCTGCGCTGAATCCTGAAGACTACTCGTGCCTATTGTCCAACTACCTACCTGTGAAGTGCATGGGAACCTCCTATGTACTACTCGGGTCCTCCTGGCTGCAGGCGAGCAGTCCAGGAGGCTGCTCTTGCCAATGCCGAAGAGAGGCAGGGGCTGCCGCTGCAGCTCCTTCTCAAGTTGTCGTGGGGAACAGGCTATTTCTGGCCTGTTCCCAAAACCCTGCTTTTATGCCTGAGTCTTAGGGTCGGTCGAAACGATGAGGGCTTAAAAATGGCCCTCCGTTTCAAGCTGATAAACCTCTGGGCCTGAAAGGCCCAGAAATAGGCTGAAACGGAATAGGGCCTGCAGGCCCTCGTATTTCAGCTTTCAGGCTGAAACGACCGGGGCCTGTAAGCCCTATTTTCTAGGCTTTTAGGCTGAAAGTGCGGGACGGGCCCTGCAGGGCCCGTGTGGCTACGCAGTATGCCACCCCCCCCCCTCCTTGAAAAACCGAGCTTACCTGCGAGGGCGAAGCTGTCTGTCTGAGGGAGGGACCACAGCCCGGGTGGGAGGGGCCGGTCGCAAAGCTTCCTAAGCTAACCTTTGCTTCTCATAATGCGCGTAGATCAGAGTTTCAAATCTGCTCCTGAAATCCACCGAGTGTCGTCGCGATCGCAGGCTTTGAATGTCACTTTGTACTATCGCGGCTTGCTGCCGTACTTGCGATCGGTGATGACGTGGTCAACTTCCTGATGACCATCCATAGAAGGAGGGTCCTGCGATCTTCGGCCAGGAAAGTCGTCGCTCTTAGCTGGCGTGTATGTTGCCAGCTTTGAGGCGTGAAAGACTGGATGGACCGTCAGATCCGGGGGGATGTTGATCACAAATGAAGGGCCATCGGGCTCATCGCCCGCGGCTGATGTTACAGGCCATGGTCCAAACCACTTGGGAAGCAGTTTGCGTGAAACCTCCTGTTCCAGTGCAAACTCTTCCGTGGAAACCCAAACCAGGTCACCGGCGCGGATGGGACATGGCACGCGATGCCTGTTGGCTTGCTTCTGCATGCGGACTTGAGCCTTTTGCATATTCGCGCGGGCTTGAGCCAGCAATTCCCTGTACTTGTGGACGAAAGCGGGAGAGCAAGCGGAATCGATGTCGGCTGGTCGTGGGAGGAGAAGGTCGGCGAAGATACGGCCTTTTCGTCCACCGTGGTGCAACTCGAATGGAGTCACGTCGATCGCCCGGTGCACCGAAGTGTTGTAGGCGAACTCGATGTCGGGGAGGCGGTCAACCCATTCTTTCTGGTCCGGACGGATGAGCSTACGMAGCATCATTTGAGCGGTTTGATGTGCCCGCTCCGTCTGCCCGTCTGTCTGTGGATGCCAAGCCGAACTTGGCTTCATCTTCGTGCCGGACTCCTGCATGAGTGCAGTCCAAAATGCCGACATGAAGCGAGTGTCGCGGTCGCTGACTATGTCTTCCGGTACACCATGGCCGCAAATCCAGCCGGTGTGCAGGAGGCGTGCCAGCTCGGGAGCCGTGGAGTAGTACTTGCAAGGGAGAAAACGCGCATACTTACTCAAACGGTCCACAACCGTGAGGATGCCATCGTGTCCGAGGCGATCGCGGGGGAATGGTCCGGTGACATCCATGGCAATGGAGAGACCAGGCTCCTGCGGGATCGACATCGGGCGCAGCTCGCCGTAGGGGTTGCGGTTGTGGGGTTTGCTTCGTCGGCAAACTTCGCAAGAGTCGCAATACCTCGTGATGTCGGTGATGAGGTCTGGCCATCGGAATCGTTGTCGAAGTCGTGCAATAGTGCGGTTGACTCCGAAATGGCCGGCGAGTCGAGAATCATGATACTCGCCGAGTAGGCGAGTCCGAAGACGGCGGTCGCGTGGGACACATAGTAAGTCCTTGCCCCGCGAGTGCAGGAGCAAATACCCATCGGCGATGCGATAGTGGCTGGTCGGTGGGTGATCCGAAGATAGCTGCGCATATAGCGTGGCGAAATCTGGATCGGACTTGTAGCCCTTGATGAAGTGTCGCTGAAGCTCCTCGTCGAATGCGAAGGCATGATGTGTCATAGCGCAAAGATCAGGTCTTCGCGAGAGTGCATCTGCTGCACGATTTGAGAGGCCGGGAAGATGTTTCCGTGTGAAGTCAAATTGGTCGATGAAGTACATCCATTGTCCGATCGTGCTGCTCACCGTATCCTGCGTCTTGTAATAGGTCAATGGATTGTTGTCCGTAACCCATGTGAACCTCCGACGCCCCAGGAGAAAGTGCCGCCAACGCTTGAGAGCCATGACAAATGCGAGCAGCTCCTTCTTCCTTGCATCATCAAGCGAGTTGATGGGAGGCACTTTGTGGCTGAAATACTCCACAGGGTGCAAGTTGTCGCCCTCGTGCTGTTCCAAGACTGCCCCAATGCCATAGCCAGGAGCGTCCATAGTTACTCTCGTCCGCAGGGTGGGGTCATAAATGCTAAGGACGGGTGCCATGAGCATAGCCATCTTAAGTGCTTGGAATGACCGGCGTGTGTCGTCATCGAATACGAATGGCACCTTTGGCAATTGTAATCTCGTCATAGGTGCAGCAATCCTCGAGTATCTGGTGATGAATGGCTGATAGTAGCCCGCCAATCCCATGAATGAACGAACGTCCGTGGTGTTGGTGGGCTCGGGCCATACTCGTAGGGCCTCGATCTTGTCCGCAAGCGGACGGATGCCTTGCGGCGTCACATAATGTCCCAAGTACTCCAGCTCCTGCCGCGCGAATTCGCACTTGTCGCGGTTGGCTTTGTACTTGGCTTGTCGTAGCCGCTCTAGAACGGTGCGCAGGTGTTCCACATGCTCCTCCAAACTCCAGCTGTACACCAGAATGTCGTCGAGGTAGATAAGTACGTATCGATCCAGCATGTGTCGGAACTCCGTTGTCATAGCCGCTTGGAAAGTGGTCGGGGCATTCGTAAGGCCAAAYGGCATRASCAGCCATTCGAAATGCCCATATCGCGTCTTAAACGCGGTCTTGTAGCGATCCTCCTTCCGAATCTCGAGTTGGTGATATCCCGACTTGAGGTCCAGCTTGGAGAAGAACTTGGCGCCGCCCATTCGCTTGGGAAGATCGTCGATGCATGGGAGAGGGCCGGCATTTCTGATCGTCTGCGCGTTGAGCTTGCGATAATCGATGCACAACCGCAAATCCTCGTTCTTCTTCCAGACGAAGAGAACAGGAGCACCGTATGGCAATGAGCTAGGCCGAATCCAGCCTTTCTCCAGAAGGTCGTCGAGTTGTGCCCGAAACACACTTAACTCTTCCTCACTCATTCGGTAGATGCAACCGCGCGGAGGTACGGCCCCGTCCTCGAGGATGATCTCGTGGCGGATGGGCCGATCCGGTACTACTCCGTGCGGGCCTTCGAACACGTCACTGTAGGCGTCGAGAAGTTCGGTGATGCGTGGATCCGAAGATGAGTCCGTCGGTGAAGCGTCATGGGGCGAGAGGGCGTGGAGAAAACACACCCCCATCTCCTCGATGTCGTCTCTGATGATGGAAGCTTGCATGCTTGCGGCGGATACCATGTGGCAGCTGATCGAAGGATGAGGAAGAGGCACCGTGCATGGGACTAGTATTCCGTTCCGATCACGAATGTGAACGGTGCGGTTATAGAAGTTCACCGGGTGATCCTCGCTTCGCAGCCATGACGTGCCCAAGATCATGTCAAATTTGGTGTCCAGAATGTCAAAGGATACCGCCTCACTTGCGTGGGTTGGGGCTTCCTTCGGACACGTGGGCCAAGGCTGACGCGTACCATGAAGTCCTGGCTGATGTAGTTGCGAGATGCTCCGCAATCGATCAAAGCACTGCAGGTCGCCTCTCCGATCTGAATGCGTACATATAACAATGGTGCGTCGATGTCGTTGTACCGTTGCGTCTTGAACTCGCGGCCGATCTTCGCAATGTAGGCGTGAAGGTCGACAACCTCTACTCCGGCGTCCATCAACGGAGTCGGTACTGCAGTGTGCAAGTAATCTCGCAGTTGTGCCATGAGTACGTTGCAATGCGGTTTCAGCAATCGTCCGGTCGAGGGAACGGGCATCCATTGGAAGTCCGCGAACGTCAATGGGTCGAGCTCTTCAAGTCTTGACCATGATGTCGAATCCCCGGCGATAGATGGCGGCGAAGCTGCCGAATCGGTTGCCGATGGTGATGAAACCGTGCATGCGGTTGATTGTTGCACGTGGAGCGGTTGGTCCAGCAGTGGAACCAAGTGGACAGCATAGTCCTCGTAAGTGTATCGAGAACTTACGACATTCGCATCCTCCCCAGATGTGCAGGAGGCCGCTAGCAAGGCGGCCGAATCTAGTGGAGTGGAAGGTGGAGTCGCCTCACCTCCCGTGAAACTTAGTTTCCCGAGTTGAGACGGGGTCGCACATCCTCCTCGGCCTGATCTTGGCAAAGGGAGGTCTTGTGCTTGGTGCTGTTGCACCAGTAGCAGCAGCCGTAGCGGCCGCGGTACTTGTACTCCGCTTCGGTCAAGCTAAACTTGACCCATGGTGCTGGCTGTCCATTTCCGGCCTGCGATGCTGGTTTCGCCTTCCCATTGTTCCGAGACTTGTTGTTGCTTCGCGGCTGGACAGCAGCCACCTGATCTCCGTCACGTGATGCTGGAGTGGCTGCTGGGTCTTCTCCACTGTCCGATTGGACTGCAGCGAAGTGCTGCGGTCGCGGACCAGTCCTTACCTTCTCCACATAGGTCGTCTGCCACGTTGACTTCTCGTGTGGAGCTGCCCTGTTGGTCTTGATGATCTCTCTCGCCTTGCCAATGATCTCGGCGAAAGTGGTATACTGCTCACGATCACCAGGTGCCTGGCTCAGCGCATGACCTGTTGTAGAACTCACGGCGTAGATGCGTGAATGGTAAGTCCAGATTGGGCACGACCGCGATCTTCTGCCATTCCGTGAGCCAGTCACGTGTTGCTGTGTTGCCCTGAGACATGGTGAAGAGACGGTTGAGGGCGAGTGCTAGTGCGTCGTCGACGATGAACCGCTTCTTCCACAGCCGTGTTAACTCTTCCCATGTAATCTTGGTTTTCAGATCCGCGACGTCGACGCTGTGGGTGGCTGCCAGGTGGGTCAACCAGGTCTGGCATCTGCGCTTTGAGTTAAGGAACAGGGCGCCGATGTACGCGTGCTTGGCGACGGGCAGAATCCGCAGTTGCGTCGTGAATGCTTCCCACCAGAGGACCGGATCCTGATGTGTGTAGGTGTCGAACTTTTCCAGTTGGAAAGTTGGCATCTTGTACAGCCTTGGATTGCCATCCGAGTTCGTCGACTGCAGTTGCTGGACCTCGGTCTTCAACGTGTCCAGCTGGCTGCTGATGGTGGTTGGCGCCGCGAAGGTGCTGATGTCGCCCAGCATTGCCACTACGTGGTCAACGCGTTCCTCCAGTTGGCGGCTAGAGGGTGCACTGCTGGAAGCCCCAACATCTGGTCCTGGTACAGCCTGTTCTAGGTCCAGTACACAGGAATTGCGTGCCCGTGTTGCATCCTCGTGGCTCTGCACTATCCGGCGGAGGTTCGCCAACTCCTGGTGCTGTGTCTTCAGATCCTGGTACTGTTGCTGCAGTTCCTGGTTCTGTCTCTCTAACTCGGACCGTTGGTAGTTGCAAGCATACAACAACCGTGTCACGAGTTTGGAGAGGAACTCCTTATGCTGCTATTCTGGTGTTGCGTCGTCGCCGTTCGGTTCAAAGTGCCAGAACTTGAGTCTCTCGATGCTGTTGACTTCATGCCGCTGCAACAGATCCTGGACTTCCTTGCGGCGAGCATGGGCATCTGCGTCTGGTTCGGCCTGTAGCCGCAGCTTCTCTGCTGTTGCCGCTGCTTCAGCATGTAGGCGGGCAGCCTCGGCCGCCAGCTGGCGTTGTTCCTCAGCCTCGATGAAAGCGAGCTGAGCCTGAAAGCGCTGTTTGTAGTCGGCAATGGACTCATTGGCCAGTTGGCCTGGCAGGCCCATTGCTGGACCCGTCATGCTGCCGTGGCACTGTGACTGACGTGGCACTGTTAACGTGGCACTGCTGTCGTGGCACTGTGGCTGACGTGGCACTGCCGACGTGGCACTGCTGACGTGGCACTGTGGCTGACGTGGCACTGCTGACGTGGCACTGTGGCTGACGTGGCACTGTACCAACTTGGAAATGCATGCAAAGGGTGGGTGGGGAGGGAAAACGCAGGTAGGGAACCAACCCAACAATACTTTCCTCCCGGCCCTAATCAACAGATAAAAAAATAAAAAAGGACTACTTCCTTTTTTTTTTTTTTTTTGTATATCTGTCGATCTATTATGAGTGAGACATGTCAGAAGAGTACTATGAACGAGCTCCAGGCTAGGTTCCGCAAAGTTACGGCTTTCACAAAATGCGATATTGAAAAAAAAATTGGCGAGGTAGAATAGAGATGCGATTTTCAGAAAAGAACTAAATCCCGTTTCTGAGAATATGGCAATCTCTGAATATGCCTATCGAAATGTTGGTAGGCTTCGCAAGATTTCGGTTTTCAAAAAAAAATTGCGAGATAGAATGGAAATTCGATTTTCAGAATAGAATAATTCCAGTTTCCGAGAATATGACCACTTCTATTGTTATCCCAATATGCGTAGAGAACGAAATACTAACATCAGAAATTTTCAGCTATGTATGCGAAATATCAGAGAAACGAAATGCTACTATCGGGAATTTTCAGACAAAATGAAATGCGATTTATCAAAAATTTTCAGATATTTGTTACGTAAAAACGAAATACTTATATCAGAAATTTTCAGGTAAAACGAAATGCGAATATCAGAAATTTCAGATAGTTGTTGCCAGAAAAAAAATTCAGAGATTTGACGAAGTCCTACTTGATTTACTAATGAGTAATCGATCGATCAAGCAAGCTGGCTATATGATTGAGCGGGTCCTCTGAATGAGAGGTCCGCTCCGATACCAACTGTTGCATACTGTAACGGTGCAGACCAGAACAAGAACCGACCTCTCAATACAAAGTATAAGATAGCACAGCGGAAGACTTAGATACCAATGATCCGAACAATCAATATTACAATGCAGCCCTGAACATACATCATCATCATCGTTACACGATGTGAATGGGGTCTGGCGCTTCACACAGGAAGACTGCGCCAGCCCCTACCATACACAGACGAAGAAGAAGGGGGTTAGACGAAGAGGAGGGGAAGATGGGAATGTCGTCAGCACCAAGTCTTCGGCACAGCCCAAATAGTCCCTCGTCGAAATGTCTGAATCCCAAATGTCAAGTCTGGATCCAATGTCGTCAAGTCCCAAGTCGCAACTCTCTCTCTGTAGTAGTCCGCTGATACTGAGAAGTCAGGTGGTGAGAGGGGAAGAAGAGATGGTGGACTTAGAAGAAGAGGAAGAAAACTCTCTCTCTCTCTCTCTCTCTCTCTCTCAGTCCAATACTAACCTGTGAAGTTGGCGCCTTGATGCAGGTACCTCGAAGATGGAGCTGGAGCTATGGCGCCACAGGTAAGTCTCGCTGGCCTCCGCCAGCCATCTCTCCCAACTCCACTATCTACCACCTACTAGCGCCCAGCGCTGAGGACTACTGCTATGGCTACTAGCGCCCAGCGCTGAAGACTACTGCTAGCGCTGCGGCGCTGAATCCTGAAGACTACACGTGCCTACTGTCCAACTACCTACCCGTGAAGTGCATGGGAACCTCCTCTGTACTACTCGGGTCGTCCTGGCTGCAGGCGAGCAGTCCAGGAGGCTGCTCTTGCCAATGCCGAAGAGAGGCAGGGGCTGCCGCTGCAGCTCCTGCTCAAGCTGTCGTGGGGAACAGGCTATTTCTGGCCTGTTCCCAAAACCCTGCTCTTGTGCCTGAGTCTTAGGGTCGGTCGAAACGATGAGGGCCTGAAAATGGCCCTCCGTTTCAGGCTGATAAACCTCTGGGCCTGAAAGGCCCAGAAATAGGCTGAAACGGAATAGGGCCTGCAGGCCCTCATATTTCAGCTTTCAGGCTGAAACGACCGGGGCCTGTAAGCCCTATTTTCTAGGCTTTTAGGCTGAAAGTTCGGGACGGGCCCTGCAGGGCCCATGTGGCTACGCAGTATGCCACACTTGGCCTTTCGGGACTGTAGCAGCTACGACTTTGACCTCTCAGGACTGTAGCAGCTACGACCTTGACCTTTCAGAATTGCAACAGCTATGACCCCTACACAACTACGGATCCTACCTAACAGACCTACGGTTCAAAACCTGACAGCCCCACTATCCTACAATGTCAGACAGACGACTCGCGAGACACAGGTCACTGGTTCAAACACACACAGGGCAAACTGATACTGTACACGGGTAAGGGCAAGGTCTGGGGATTGAGCCCTGGGATCGGCATCTGCTACCGTAAAGGTGAAAACCTTTTCAAAGTCAGGAAATAATTGTTTTAAGAGGCCGAGGCCTATCAGTTGGTACACCCATGAACTATTGAACTGGCCTATCAGTAGGTACACCCATGAACTATTGAACTGCAGGCCTGAGTTCGATTCACGATCGAACTATCTGAATATTGCGCGGCATGAGGCCTTTGGACACAGTTGTCAAGGGCCTGTGCCCGCTGGAAACTGTCTGCACCCGCCCTAAGTGAAGGCGGGCCCCTGGAAATTCAACGAGGCCTGAAAACAGGCCAATGTGGGTGAGCACTCAATGGCCTAGCTCAGTTGGTATACCCATGAACTGTTGAAATATAGAACCAAGTTCGAATCCAGATACAATCAGATGACCAGTATAAAACCATTCTGAATTACCTGGGGCCAGTCAGTTAAATGATGATATCTCAAGGTCGTCGCCCTTTTGAAAAGAGAGGGGGGGGCGGGGGGGAAGGCCAACTTGTGTGAGAAGGCCCGCGTGTGTTGGCTGCTGCATGCAGCATCTGCAACCAACCAGTAGGCCCGATCGTTTGTAGATGCTGGGGCCCAGAAAGATGCTGATGCGAAGGGCACGTACATGTTATGAACATGATTGTCCGTTGAAATTTTGTCAACGTTCACTCACAGGAACTCCCGTACACGCCCATACATGCACAGAAGGAAGGGGAGAGGTAGTGGAGTGTCACACCGCCCAACAAAAGGAACGCAGCGGAAG